GATAATCAATGTACGGCAGGTATACTTAAATGTCTGTGGTCGTAAATAGTTCATTAATTTAATATTAGTTATTTATTTTTTTTTTTTTGATGATGATATAATTCGTTATTTAACTACGAGAGGTTGTTGTTAAAGTTCTCTGATAACGATATAATCATTTAAATATAATAAATCAATGACGTACACCCAATACACGTATAGAATATTGTCAAGAGTAAATGTTACTGCAATTTAAATCAATGCGATTATGAAGTAATCGTCAAGCTCCCCGTTTTAAAACAGTGCGCCCTCGTGGAACACGTTATGAGAATAAAAATAAAACCATTAACGCATCCCGGACACGGTATTGACAATATTATTAGTGTGTATGTCACGTGTTCTAAGTGCTGCGAGCAAAATCTATCTAGAATATTCGTTCGTTAAATATGTCAATGTTAGGGAATTGCATTATTTTGCCGGTCGATTATGTATTATTATCAGTGGTGTAAACTTGTCAGTTGTTTAATGACTTCTGGACACGTAAACGATTATGAGTCGCTTATTACAATCAACTAACGACCGCTACTGCTGCTATAATTAATAAAATTAAAAAACAAAAAAAGTCCCAAAATTGTTTTTTGATAACATCGCACGTCCTCGTTGTCGGATTCGTCATCGTCGTTGTATATCCTGGATCGCGCATCCGTCTGTTGTAATTATTACTATTGTTATTATAATTGTTATTAAAATTATTATTATTATTACTATTTGTATTCACGTTTTTGGCTGCAATTTGTTAGTATTTTTTTTTCATTTTTAATCGCTATATTGGAAGTTTATTTAAATTGCACACATTCCTCTGACGTAGATAATAATACTCGTGATATTGATATGACGTCACCTCCATAGATTCCTCGGTAATTTACGAGTTGGCTGGACCGGCAGTGACCCATGTAAATCATTTACGACCTTACGAGTAGGTATATAATAACATTAACCACCACAATGAATCGTTTCTATATACCTGCGTATAATAATATGATTTTAGCGTCTGCGGACAGAGAAGCAAGCACATATTTCCTACCGATAACTTTTTCTTACGTAAATATTATCATCTCTTTTTGAACACCATATTCAGATTTTCGCGTGTATGATTATTATTCGCACATTAGATAGTAATATTTTTAATGGAAATATTTTTGAACGATAGACTGTTTGAAATTAATATTTTTAAAATTAATTTGTACGAAAAAACTATACTATCCACCGAATAATTAAATATTTCGAAAGTGGATTTACAAAAAATTCATGACGTGGAAACAATCAATATACTAATGTCCGCCTTAAAACCTATAATAAAAGAAAAACTATGGTTTACTGTAATAGAAAAAATGTATAACCAACTAATAGTATTAAATAACTACAAACTCACGAATACATAAATGCAATTCATTTATACTAATGAGGTTCAAACGAATTTATGTTCAAAATATACGTGAGTACTCCGATTGCTATCAAAATTCATATAATAAACAAATAACTATGCAAATGCCGAATATATGGGAAAATTACACTCGTACCTGCAGTGTTCTTGCATCTTTATTACATTACACTTTATTGTACACGTTCCGCGGTTTTTGTGGTGCACCGATAAACACACTTGAACTTGAGAATTTTAAGCGTTCATCCGAGTTTATATATGACGAACGATATATATTGTGATATTGAGTAACCACGAAAAGATTTTCATGAACACTATGAACACGAAAAAAACGCAATACGAAAAATGAAAGAAAAAATCTCACAAAACCAAATCGCAACGTTTTGTTTTTATTAGGTATACACTCGTATTATCACCGTCGGACGTATTATATTCCCGTTATTCCATATTTTCATCCACTTGCGTTCGGGTACAAGGACAATGTACTGCGTTTTCCGTTGAAAATACGAATTATACTATATTTTAAAACCGCGTAGTAAACTGAAACTTGAAAACAGATTTAAAAACATGAATCGTAAAAAACGTTAACTAATATCGAGATGAGAAAAATACAAAGGACTAAAAATTCAATATAATTTTGCTTCAAACGAGAATCGTGGGCCACAAATCATCGTGTTTGTACGTGTTATATTAAATACTTTATAATATTTGTAATAGCTTATTATTCAAACGAGACTTGCCAAGTACTGACAGTAAACAATTTTTACGAGTATTTTCCGCGAGCAAATCTACTGTAAATAGAAACATCATCTCAGCAAAATTGTTAGAATCGAAAAAAAGATCGGTTAGATCATCATTTCGATTAGGTCAACGGATGAAAATAGAATTCCATTTAATTTTTCCTCGGCAAATCTTAATAATGAATGTTATAACCAGTTTTTAGTAGTGATCGTTGATGCGTCCACGTTGATCCTCCGCGTCCGTGTTGGATGTAACACTCAGGAATCGTCGGGCGAAAATTCAAGACCCGAACATTTCATTAATGGGTAATAGTCGCAGGCGTGTTTTAATATTAAAGTATAATAGTAGTATTATAAGCCATGAAAAAAATAAAATGTAATTGTGTTTTTTCTAACTTATATATAAAAATAAAAAATATAAAAAAAATCATCCCAGTCTTCAAGGTCAATAGGTTAATGTGAAGTGAGTAACTACTGGTTTGAAATATATTTTATTCTACAAATCTATAAGGAAATAAAGATATACGTCGGAATTTAGGGGACAAGAAATAATTGTTATTATATTCTTACTTCGTATTTTAATTTTTTACGACATATAATTACAAAATAAAAATGACTAACGTTTCCATTAATATTTATTAATTTTATGCCATAAAAATTTTAAGCTTACCAATACATGAGTATTATATATCATATCGATATGATACGAATTCTAAACCAACATATTTATTATACCTATCAACCGATTGTTATTAAAACACAGTGTTTTGATATATACTAAACTTATACAACCATGCATAAACCTATAATAACATTTTGTAAACAATATTATTGAACTATACGTGTGTCATCATAGGTACGTCTTTCACAGTAATATTTGTCTTTCAATGTTTTACGAATAGAAAAAAGTATCGTCGAAAAACGATAATCACTTTAATAAAATTTTATCTCGTGTTACTGTCTCTATTTCGTAAACTACTAATGCTATATCTATCTAGGGCGTTAGGTGAATTTCGTCCCTGTTGTAATTTAATTATAATTATATTGTAACTATTCAATTATTCGTCAATACTTTATGTAAAAAAAAATTAAAATTATAGAAGTGTATTATGTATTTTTAACAGAGAAAAATGTATACGAAACGACTTGAACGTATTCGAATCTAGTTAATAATTTATTATTATATTCAATAATTATTCTCGAATATAATTTTATTTTTCGACAATTTGACGGAATTTTCTTTATCCATTACTTCATATTTTTATATATGTTTCAGAATAACTAATTTTTAAAACATCAATTCAGTTTTAAATATTTAGATGTTTAGCAATAAATAAATTATTTAATATATAGTGAAATGCCTCACAACTGTTGGTTTTCCAATTTGTCGTTGGTGCAAATTCAGCCCAGAGATTTAAAGTTGTATTGCTTGGAATAATTATAGGGGAATGCAATTCATCTACTTGAAAAAAAAATATCCGGGTCGCAATTCACCTAGTGGTGCATTGACAATTTTTAACCCATTTTTTAACATTTTTTTTTTTTTTTTAATTAACCCACTATAATTTGCGTGTATCTATGATTTAGCCTTTGAATTATATTATACAAAATAATAAATCGATTGGTGTGTACTGCAATGTTAATCAACACACAATGAAGGCTAAATATACTTTTTTAAATAAGGATTATATGTTGGAACAGTATAGTACAACAATAATTATATTTAATATTACTGTTTTACGCATAACAAATTAACATTTCTTTGTTAGTTTAAAATATAGAAGACATCGAACCTGAACACTGTTTTCCATATGGTTACATTTGAACAATCTTAACCTCAACCTGAATCTTGTTAGTTGTAGAATATTCCAACACTTTAATTGTTTTATTAATTTGTTAAATTTCAATAATATTCGTACGTACCCTCAAAATAAAGAATAGACGATAAATTCACCAACGATCATGCTGGTTTTTTTAATGGCATTATTAATGCTAAATTATGCAAATGTAAATGAATATTATAAAACGTTCCAAATGGATACGTACTAGTATAAATACTATATTATGATCAAAATTAAAATTAATCACATTAATTTAGTATATCACAATTACCTATAAGGTGTGTAAAATAAATTAAATATACTTATTAAAATAAATATTTCTGTTATTCATGACGTATGCTATACGTGTTGTTTAATATTTATTTTATTCATCCCAGTAAAAAATATAAAGCATAGTATTATTCAATTTTCGGATAGGCATTAAATCGTAAACACATGAATTCGTGTGTTATTTTATTGTAAATTATTAAACCCGTGTTAATCAGTATTGGAAATAATAAAATATTGTCAATGAAGATTTACAACTAAAGTGCAATGTAATTAATATATTTCAGTGGTAAACCATACGTTTGTTTTACATGTAAATACTAAATACGGCCAATTTTACAACGCAAATAATGTTTTCTAACTGCACACTTAGCTAATAAGTCGATGCATTTTTAACAGAAAAGTTCTACACCACACCGGGTACAGGTACTTTACAATTTCAGTTACAAAAATAAAAATGGTTTGTTTTAGAAACGTTTTTTCCGTTATAATGTATGCATGCCGTCAGGGAAATAATACACCTACGAAATATTTAGTAGTTGATCAAACGACTCGAAAACCCAAAACGGCTTATCAAATCGAGTGACGATGACCAGGACTTTTGGCGAAGGGAAGGGGCCAACGTTACGGCAGCGTCTGGCGGTCGTCATGGGAACGGTGATTGGGTGCCGGCAACGATCTGAGGCGATGGGTTTTTAGGAGGAAGGATCTCGCGGCTATTTGTAGGGCGCCGAATGGATCGCGTTGCGAATTCAGTCGTTGCGGCGCTGAACGAGTGATACTATTCTTGCCGACGGTGACCTCAGCAGTCGTGCGTTAACACGTTCGAAATTTCGCGGGTAAGTGAAAAACTTTGATCTTTAATAACTTGAACATTTTGCATTATTCTAAACTAATACGCGGCTATGGTTTACAAATATTCAAAGTTAATTGGTATTGTGTTAGCTATATTAAGCGCTCGAAATTTTTTTTTTAACAATTATAAAATAATATTCAAGGGATTGATAAATGTGCGAAAAAAAAATCAATAGTAATTTTTGGAAATATTGTACAAATAAAATGTTTATTTTAATTTTAGAAACTATTTGAACATAAATCTTCGTCCCTTTCGATGGTAAATAATTTAATTCAACAATTTTACTCGTACAGTAAATTAAAAATAATTAACTAAAACAAATGCGTTTCAACTATTAAAACAGTTTTATTAAAAATCAAATTAAAGTTCATTGGTGACTTTAATAAATCAATAATATTTTTATTCATTTTTTTTTTCATTTATAAGATAAGAATCTTAAAAAAGTATACGTCAAATATTTATGAGAATATGATTGTAGAATAAGAAAACTACTAATATAATTAATCAAAAATTAAAAAAAAACATTCAATTTCAACAAGATCGTTAGTTATATTCTTCAGATGGGGATTTTTAAACTGATGATATTCTCACTCAAGGTAATCGAATACAATTCATCGTATGTACAATATTCATATTTATTTAATTTCATATTGACACCACTAAATTATATTTAATATTTTGTAATTAAATTGATCATTAGTGTTTAGATATATATATATATATATATATATATTTATTTATTTATTTATTTATTTATTTATACATGTGTATATGTACATATGTACCAGTGTTTATTCTAATACTAATACGAGTATAACAAAATGAAAACTAAAAAAATTAAGATCTATCCCATTCGATCTTTAGATGCAGTTTTTTAAACTACATAACGATTTACAATTACGTATGCACAGGAATACCGTAGATATAACTCGTACAGTTCACGAAAAACGTTCGTTATGTTATATGTTTGTGTGCTGTAAAAGTATTGACATTTTTACATGTAAAACGCTTTGAAAGAAAATAGTAGTAAGTCTGTCATGTAAACATTTTTAGATTATTAGCACGTCCTACGAAATAGTATATTTTCAATTGACTGATAATATTTACGTATATATATATATATATATATATGTTTATGGTATTATTTTATCATGTGTTCGAATAAAACACGTAGTTTGAAAATATAATTCACTTAAACCTCATTGCGATCATTACAACTCGTTAGCTATTATATGTATATCTAACAGATGTATTTTTAATATTTAGAATATTATAGTTTCCTCGGTCATTTTATGTGTTTTCCAACTATATTTTTTATATAATTTAAAGTATTTATACCACATTTCGCAACATTATTGCTTAGCAAATTACTTTTTTACTTTTTTGGCGAAGCAAGTTATAAGATTTAAAAAAAAAACATCGAACCAGTTGCTAATTATTATCAAGGGGTATTTTAATTTGTAGTAGATTACTATATTTATCTAGAACTTAAACATGATAGTACCTTTATGATGTCACAACAATATAGGTACTGCAAAAATAAAAATAAAACTTTAATATAATAAACATTAATACAATAATAAACTTTAAATTATAATAGTTACGAAAATATAAACATTTTTCATAGATCCTAATTAATGAATTAACAAATTAACGAATTTCTAATAAAACATGAACTATTGGCCGAAATAATAATAACGTTTAAAAAAAATAATATCACTGCGATGCGTGTACCTACAACTGTTGTTGGTGAGGTTCATGAAAAAAGTATAATATATATCAGTCATTCAAATAATAAAGGAATCGGGAATTTGATTACAATTGAAACAATTGTACTCGTAATTTATAATATGTTATTATACTACTCGTTTTTGTATGCGTTATATTCGAATAAAATACTATCCGCAGCGTACTATACGGTTACATGTTATCCCAATGCCATTAAATAACATAATAATATCATACAAGGTTTGGTGTAGAAAGACGAACACGTTAATTATAGTTGCTATACTTCGGCATCCTGATTCCCGTTTTTGTGAAGCAGATAACAATATCTGTTTCTGTTTACGTTATTATTTCCACGTCGTTGTAGAATTATTATTATTATACTTGTATCCTTTCGACGCAGCTTGTCGATGTACTCGTTGATAGGAATTTAATGTTTTACAATTTATTTGCATTATGATTTATTTAATTATCTGACGTTTATATTATATTATATTATAATATAAAATATTACAACTAATGTACACACGTCAAGCACGCGCGTGCGCGTTCGCTAGGAAATAGGTGTACATTTTCACTAGACGTACACCGTCGTGATCGAGCAACGTAATTTATTACAGCTTACATTTTTCAACGTAATTCAATACACTGAACATTTGTCAATCGACAAAATCCCACGATTTCGATATAAATGGTCTAATATTTTTAGCTTGGGGTTTTTTAATTTTCCTCTTTTTCGCGTTTACAAAAATGTGATTTTATAATTTATGCTCAATTCGTTGTTTTGCGATTAATTTTCCTGGTTATTTTACAATAAAAAATAGGTGATCATACATATTTTATTCAAAGGGTATTGAACAATTAAACTAAGAAATATCAATGCGTTTTTTGTGTTGTGGAAATAAAAACTAAAATAAAATTTGGTATTAAACATTTATAAAAATTAGTCAATACATAGACCACATAGTAAATACATTGATTAAACATACAATATATATTATACATACAGTATGTTTAATCAATGGTAAAGATATCGTTATTCTTATTTTATACTTATCTTACAGATACCGGGATATAATTAATTTACATTACTCAAAAATAACATCCCCATATATTCTCCCTCGTCAATTTTCAAGCCGTTCAAAATATTTAACAGAGTATTTTTTGAGATTTCAAATTCACTTTTTCTTATAACCTTTTCGGATTATTTGCGATTTTTCACGGCGTTTAAGTCTAAATCGCTATATAAATAAGTAACGATAATTCATCAATGAAGAACGATAACAATATATATATTATTATTATTGTATATATTTTATTGCTATTGTTAATATATTATATCCCGCGTGAAAACACTCTTAAGTGATGGTGGCGAAGATGCGCACGCGGATCGTGTCCGCCGGGTGTTTACAAAACGTGACCGCGGCCGTGGCTGGCAAGGCTGACCCGTCTGTAACCACTAACCGGTAGCCGTGGCTCGTTGTCCGTCGTCGTCGTATTATTACAATACAATATTATAATGTGCACAATAAACTGTAGGTAACAATAACATTTAACTATAACAATTTCATACATAATTCGTACGGCATCTGTTAAGTTCCGATCGTGTCCAATGTTACTCGTCTATATGTATAGGTACCCTCATTGTTTGACGGAAATACGTATGTATACCAACGGAGACATTTCTAGGACTTGAGCCCTGTAAACGTCTAAATTTTTCCTTAAGCATTCACTACTAATCCAGGCTACTTTGTTAATACCATATTTAGCTATAAATGTATAAGCTTCACGTAATTATAATATGCTACTGGAGCATTCCGCGAAGTTAATAGTATTACAATATTATATTACACTTCTAGGGATAACATGATTGTTTCAAAAATCATATTTTATACTTAAGGCCGTTCTGAGTGATTATATTCTGTTTCACAAATCCATAGTTTGTAGAGTTATAAAACGAAGTGTCTAAAGTTGTTACCGGTCATCGTCCCTTATATCGCATTTTATATGGAACAATTCCTGTAACAATTTATCGTTTGTATGACCCAGCAACAGTGTACTACAGAATTGCACAATATATGACAGACTGTTTTTACTTATTCCGTATCTGGCACATTTAATCTAGCGCTTATCGATCTCAACTTCTTATATATTACTAGTGTCAAAAATATTAACACACACATACCCATACCTAATATATATTATTACGGGTCATCTCTACATAGATTAGAACTAGATAACTGATATTAATCAAAAACAGACACACGGATTTAAAAGAACGCATTCTTTGATACTTACACTTTAAAACAATAACTGTCATGATAAACGCTTCGAGGCTTCCGCCACCGAGACCTAGGTTAACGGGATCGAAAGCGTGGATTTTAAATTTCTGTCTGTCTCCCGGGCAACATGTGGACTTAGGATGCTAACCACTACCAACGTACCGATCGATTGGATTGAAGGATTTTAAAAACTTGAAATCGTCATTAAATTTATATGAGAACCTTATCACATTTTATAAGCATTAGCTTTATTAAAATTAACACGGTTAACAATTTCAAAACTTAATTGGGGAAAGAGGGAATAAAAAAAATCTCATTAACACGAATTCGGAAAAACGTGTTCTTCGATACGATCAAATGAACAAATTAATTGTTTTTCAAGATAAAAATCCGTGTAGAAAACGATTCGAGATGCCCGTCACCCGTTCAGAGAGAGGTTTAACGGTTCGAAGTGGTCGAAATGAGAAAAAAACACGAAGGGACTGCATCTCTTTACATTCGCACAATTCGTTTAGAGTTCAAACTGTTCATACGGTTTCGTCCGAAATCCACGTGTTGTAGTAGGTACAAGTACAAATGTTGTCGACACGAAGAGAAGCGATAAGAACGCGAGCACGTCCCTTCGCGTTTGCCTAGCATTACCGAGCCGTCGGTTATGTACGTACACGATCACACGGATATGCGAAAAACGTGTTCGCGCGGAAACTAGGTCTCTCGACGCACAATGCGAGACGTCCAAGTGCGCGCCTGGTCGGGGCCAACGGCACCGCCGTCTGGTTTTCGGGAAACCCGAATGCGCCGCCGAACGCGGGTTTCGCGCACGCGCGTACGTATGCAAATTCGCACGGCGTGCGGTTGATAGTCCCCGCGCGTACCGTTAACCGGAACGCGGACCCACGGGCGGCCGAATAGCCGCCGCCGTCATCGTTCGTTTCGCGGCTGTCCAGGACGAAACACCACCGAGTGCAGTTCTGCA